GTTTCATTTCAAATCCATTGTGGTGGTGTATAGAGACAAAAATGTTAGAATGGTTCCAATATTTATGGAGCTGACTGTATCTTCAAGAAAGGACATGGTGAGGAAGAAACCCACAGAAAATAAGACAAGCCCCAGGAAAGATCACTGGCTTCCAGAATACTTTGTCTACAAGTAACAAAAAGAAACGTAAGAAACCTGGGAGAGCCAAGGCAGAACTACAGCTACCAGAGGAAACAGAAAGAAGAGTCTCATCCTTTCAAAGGCCCATTAAAGAAGTAATACCCTTTGAGCACAAAAGGGGGCCATGTGTGGCCAGGAGCACCCAAGGAAGGCCCCAGAGGGGCAAAATAAAGTCAAAATAAGAGATTCCGAATTGAATCACAGAAGCCATATATATATATATATATATATATATATATATATATATATTTCCAATGTCACTAAAATGAATGTTCAGGGTTTGATTAAGGTCTAATGATATAGCACCATGGAGTGTGTTGGTTTGTTTTAGCAATGTAAGTGCTATATTGAAGTGCGAGTAGATAAGTGTATAATCCATCAAGTTGGGTTTGCAGGTAAAATTTGGAAATCTCTCATATGAGAGATATAATGGCAGTTCTATGCCGTAGATGACACCTAAAGGGTGTAATTTAAGGTAGCAAAGTGTAATTGTTGATAGTGGGGCAGTAATCCCTTTCCCTAAGTAGTTGCCTCAATGTACTCCTCAAGGGATCTCTTAAAGAGAAGCTTGTCTTGGAAAAGGGCCTGTGCAAAAGGTACAGTACCTTTACCTTGCTCCATCAGTGTAAAATGTCAGCCACTGCGTATTCTGTGGTCTTATGAGCACTGGGTCACTAGCCAAAGAAAAGCTTCCAGTAGTGAGGTGCAAGAAAAGACCGCCAAATTTAAATAGGTTAACTTTATAATAAAGAATAATGTTTGTCCTTCCTAAAGATGACCAATCAGGTTGAAACGCATTGAGGCTTAGTGACATACTTCCGGTCACATGGTTTCAGGGCGGTGAAACGCATCTGAGTTTCCAGTGTCAGAAGTGGATAGTGGCCATCTTAGTGTTTGTACACAAGCTGAATATACTGGGTTCTAGTCCATAGGGCACCTTGTCATGTGAGTGAATTATTTGTGAAATATATTTAATAAAGACACCATACGGTTTTACACTCTGGGATCCTCTCTTCCACCTTCTTCTGAGAAATTCTTCTTATGCTGCACGGTTTTTGAAAACTGACAGGAGTGGATCATATAGGGATTTGCCCCACAAGTGTAGCTGACCATACTAGTGACAGTTGGTCACCAACAGAAGGTGAATGCAAGTCCATGTAGGACACAAAAGGCACCGTCAAGTAGAGCACCATATCTATATTTGAGCACCGGTACTTCTGCACCAATTGGGACATTATATTTTATAAATATTTATATATTTTTTTGGGACTACTTTTAATTATATTTGTGATATGCACGGTTAGAAGTTTTCTTTTTATGGTAACTTTATAATCACTACTGTATACCTGTATAAGACAGACAATAGTCATCAGGGCAAAAACAAACACTCAACGTGCAGATTATCCTATCACCTGTGTTAACCTCTTGCATGCCTAGCACAGCGGCGTGTCTTGTAGAATGAAGAGATACAATGTACTGTGTACTACAGATCCAAGTAATCAGCCAACAAGACATGTATAGCCAAGAAAAGATAGAGAGCAACTGTTTTTTTTGTCCCTGGTTTGCCCATCACAGGCATACCCCAAAGGGGCCTTCAGGCTCTGGGTGCAACAGGAATGGATATGGATAGCACCCTGCTGCTAACTCATTGCACTATGTACCAAGGTGAGTGCCAAACACAGGATCCATTAAATGAAACCTAACAGGCCAGCTCCACTACTGTAGGGTCCAGATATGGTTTCCGAAGATGATCATCAAGGATAACGGATCTGGAAACTGCTAGTGAGCCATAGTGCAATAAACAGTCAGATCTTGATAGACCCGTCAGTTGAAGGAAAAGAAAACTATGAAAAACAGAAATAAAATAGTGTGCACAATTTTTAGGCAAATTGTATTTTGGAGGAATTTAATTTAACCAACTACAGTGTTCTCAGTCAATCCAAAATGTTAATAAACCTGAATATTTAAGAAAGTAAAAGTGAGGGCTTGGCTTTCTTAGGAGAATATCTATGTGTGCACAATTATTGGGCAACTATTAGTGTGCAGGATTATTATGCAACTAAATGAAAACTGAACATTTTCCCATCTCACTTGTTGATTTTCATCTGTTAAAGTGAGAATAATAAACTAAAAAATTACAAATACACATTTTTTTGTCAGAAATCAGTGACCAACATAGCCACCCTCCTTTTCAATAACAGTCATAAGCCTTCCAATCATGAAGTCTGTGTCTTGATCTGTTGACAATTAACTTTTTGTGCAGCAGCAACCACAGCCTCCCAGACACTGTTCAGAAAGGTGTACTGTTTTCTTTCACCGTAAGAGCTCATTTACACTTGTGCAATTTCTCATGCGACTTTGAGGTTCCAAGCCACATGACAAGTCGAGCCCCATGTTTCCCAATGAGTACCATTCATATCTGTGCGATTTCAAATAGCGACTTGAAAGTAGTTCCTGCACTACTTTGGTCCAACTTTCATGTGACTTGAGGGCCATAGACTTCCCAGTAAACCCAGTCACATGACAGTCACACCTGTTATACGTGAGACTTTGTACAGTACAAACAATCATCCTTGGTCAAAACCAAAGCTGCCTGAAATTTGTGTCAAAGTCGCACTGAAAATCGCATGATTTTGAAGTCACCAAGTGTTAATGGAGTCAATCTCCCAATTAAGAAGGGCCCACAAGTTCTCAATAGGGTTTAGGTCAGGGGAAGAAGGGGGCCATGTCATTATTCTTTCATATTTAAGGCCTTTACTGCCTAGCCACACAGTTGAGTACTTTGATGCATGCGATGGAGAATTCTACTGCATAAATATCATGGTCTTGACTTTTTCCTGTACCGCTGCTTGAAGAAAGTGTCTTCTAAAAACTGGCAGTAGGTTTGGGAGTGGATTTTGAGTCCATCTTTAACTCAAAACTAGCTCATCTTTAATAATACCAGCCCATACCAGTACCCCACCTCCACCTTGCTGGAATCTGAGTCAAAGTGGAGCTCTGTGCCCATTACTGATACAGCCACAGGCCCATCCATCTGGTCCGTCAAGAGTCACTCATCTATTCAGTCCATAAAACCTTTGAAAAATTTGTCTTCAGATATTTCTTGACCCAGTCTTGATGTTTCAACTTATGTGTCTTGTTCAGTGGTGATCGGGTTTCAGCCTACCTTACCTTGGCCATGTCTCTGAGGACTGAACACCTTGTACTTCTGGGCACTTCAAGTAAGTTGCAGTTCTGGAATATAACAGCACTGGAGGATAATGGGTTTCTGTTTCTTTTTCTCAACATGTTTCTTGCAACCCTGTTGACTATTTGCAACAAAACATTTGATGGTTCTGTGATCATGCCCCAATATCTTAGCAATTTCAAGAGCGCTGCATCCCCCTGAAAGAATTTTTACAATTTTTGACTTTTCAGAGTCTGTTAAAGCTCTTTTTTGGACCATTTTGCCTGAGGAAAAGAAGCTTCCTAATAATTATGCACACCTTGATATAGGGTGTTGGAGGGGGTGCAGTTTCCACCAAATCTTTTGCCATATTCCAATTACCTGAAGGCAGCAGCAGAAAACCCATGGTCTAAGAATCAATTTGTACTATCATACAGTGTACTGTACAATTAAGACAAGTTTTATTTCTTGCATCTCCCAGCTTTAGAAAAAATAATGCATATATACGGCAACAGAATTATTTTAGTCTCATACTTTTATTTCAAAAATTTCAACAAGTCATATAAATGTGTTTTATACTTGTTGTATAAAGTAATTTCCCCATATTTAATATAAAGTCTTTTGCAAGCATTGACAGAAATGTGTAGAGATTACACGTTAAGAAAAGCTGAAAACACAGTGGCAGAGGTTAGCACAGTAATGGAACACAAATGAAGATATGCAGGGGAAAAAAGACTCTAGGTTAGTGCTAGTTAGCTGCCAAAATTGATTCTACATAGATATGAGTAAGACAATTTCAATGACCCGTGACAAGTGTTTCTTAGTTAAAAAAAAATTTCACGAGTGGCATCACTGTCAAGGTTAAAGGAGCCTTTACAGAAAAAAAGGCAACTAAAGTGTGATTCTGTTACAATCAAATGAGTAATTCGTGAAACAAAATCTTCATCCTCTGTAGAAACAGTACTTCCTCCAGGTCCTCGGCAATAAAATGCAAAAGCTATTTTAGCAGTTATTTAAATATGACTCCAATTAAAACAGAAAGGGCAAAAATGACTACCAAGCATTTTGTAGGATCTCCAATACAAGGCTGGTTACAATAAGGCTGACACTTCATACTGTCAAGAAGCTATGGAAGCTTCAATGCCCACAAAAATGTGCTTTTCTTGGAAGACCTGTAAGCAACTGAATACAACTCAGCTAACATTTGTGTAATTTCTTGGACCATGAGCTGCTCTCCTATATGCATGTCAAAATAAGTAAGCAATTGTGAACACAGGGCTCTGATCACAGTTCAAATTCAGTATCTTAAATAGAACATAAAGTAGTGTCAAAGACATATTGTGTGCAACATGGACCTATCTGGATTTGGTTCACAGCACAGAAAACACAAACTGAGGGCAGAATAAAGCAGAGTCCAGTCTGCCCCGTTGTCATAAAGCATTTGAGTTTGAAAGAACTAATGCATGTGCTTTAAAAAAAAAAAAAAACTAAAAACTAAAAATTGGACTCTGAAATAAGAAACAAATTAAAAAAAAAAAAAAAAAAAGTAAGAAAGGTTAGTTTGTTACATGTATTATAAGATTGTAACATGCAGAGGATATAATGAATAAAACCATGTTGGAAAGTCGCAAGAAATTTAATTTTGATCCTTTTGCTAAGCATGTCTTATTTTAGATGGTGTGTAGTTCTTATCTATATGTTCATCTTGAAGAAACATGTGAAGGCATCGTTCATTCTGTGCCAAAGGGTGTCCAGCAACTCTGGAAGTTAAAAAGGAAGTAAAAAGAATATTTAAGAAGATGACAGTGGAAGACCTAGCATCAATACTTTATATATTAAAATAATCATTAACAGTATTTTTCTTTTCAGATTGAAATAAGGGGTGATTCAAAACCAGACCTCTATGCACTTTTTGTTTTAAATGTGAAATTTCCCTGATGCTGCACCTTTATACAAAGCCAATCAGAAAAAAAATGAGTAAACATGCCAAACATGAAGCCATAGCACACGAAACCAACTAGCAAGTATAATATTAAATACATTTTAATACATCAAACCTTGTAGTACAAGACTACAATCTGCAATCAAAGCAAATGATTATCTCAGAATTGTGAACTGCATTGTTTCAGCAGCAGGGCATACGTCGAACCAGGTATTAGCTACGGCATACCATGTAACTGTTTGTTTCAGCACCATCAATTTCAAAGGCAATCTGCATAAATTAACTTTACACAACAAATAGAAGGTCAACAATAAGAAGGACTTGTTTTAACTCATTCAATACAAAGTGTTTCACAATGCAATCTGTTTATATGTTACAGGATAATTTCCTGGCTATTGAAAAGGATCATACTCACTTGTTTATAAATTGTTCAAGCCCTTGCTTTCTTTCCTCTATGAAAGAGTCATCAAAGATGCCTTCATCTCCTCTGAAAGGAAGCTGTCTAAAAAGAGCTTTTCCAGGTAAGGGGGGCACAACGACCTGAATGATGCACAGAGAAGGAAAAAAAAAAAAAAAAAAGAAGGAGGTTACCAGGCATCATCTTAGAATGATCATATTTAAAGCCAAACTAATTTTATGCAAAAGGTAACACTGATGTTAAAGTAAAGGCAATGGTGTACCTTCTGAATCACTGTTTACAGTGTTAGATTTCAGAGCAAAGGGATGGACGCTCAACTCTGGACACAGACATTTTTGGGTCCAGGGCCCCTTATCTATCCCCGGACGAAAGCAAAAATGCTTGGATGTCAGGGTACCAGTGTACAGCTGCAACCTGTCACCTATTTGTACAGGTGGCTGTAGGCAAAAACCTGTCAGTCCTTGGTGCCCGTGTGAATGAGCTCTTATAGTAACATGCCACAGGGACATGGTCTTGTGTAACACATGCTATTATATTCCAAAAGTCGTGTTTTGTTGAAATTTATAACCGCAACATATTAACGATGAAATAACTATTAAACCTGTTCAGTAAATGAACACACAAAATAGATTATTTCAAGAGGAATTTAGTAATAGATTGTAAGCTCCAAGGAGCAGGGCCCTCAAATCCTCGTGTATTGCTTTATATTGTTATTGTACTGTCTCATGTATTGTCTCCCATTGTAATGTACAGCGCTGAGCGAACTGTTGGCACAATATAAATACTGTATTATAATAATAATAGGAAGAAAGCCATGCAGGTTACAATACTGTAATGCCAAGATGTGTAACCTGTGGATCAGAAGCCTGAGTGTTTTTTTGAGTCCACTAATTTAAACAATTGAAACAATCAAGGTATCAAATCCATTTGGGTATCAATAGCACACCATATGGAAGTAAATATGAAACTGCAATAAAACTCTAAGCACTGGTACACACCAGTGCATCTTGTCATGCAATGGTTTGTGGCAATGGAACCATTCAAATAGCTGTGACTCAATTTGCAGCGACTTTGAAAATGGGTTCTGCGTGACTTCATTGCAAGTTGCGTTGACATCTGTTAAATGAGGTCGCACAGATGTGAGCAAGATGCACATGAAATTACGTGGCTTTGAAGTTGCACTGAAGTAGAGTGACTTCAAATCTGCATAGGTGTGAACCAGGGCTAATGCAGGCCATAGATGGGGAGAAAAACTGCAGATTTTTCTTTTAAAAAACAAAAAATCGGTTGTTCAAGTGGCCGACGTTACCATCAATGGTAAAAAAAAAAAAAAAAAAAAAAAAAAAAAAAAAAAAAAACGGCCGATTTTCTACCCGTCTAGAGCCGGCAAAAAGTGTCCCTGCAGAGAGCTCTGCTATTTCTTTGACAGTTCTCTGACAGTTCCTTGACATTTATAGAAGTTGCAACAATGTATCTATTTGTTTCCATTTAGGATACAGATGTTTTTATTCGGAAACAAATAGATACAATGTTTCAACCGCTGTAAATGTCAAGGAACTGTCAGAGAACTGTCAGAAATAGCGGAGCTCTCTGCAGGGACACTTTTTGCTGGACTGGAATTCTTCTTCATCCTCATCCTCTTCTTCTTCTTCTTCATCCTCATCCGCATCCTCTTCTTCTTTCCTCTTCTTCATCCGCATCCTCTTCTTCTTCCTCTTCTTCATCCGCATCCTCTTCTTCTTCCTCTTCTTCTCATCCGCATCCTCTTCTTCTTCCTCTTCATCATCCGCATCCTCCTCTTCATCATCCGCATCCTCCTCTTCATCATCCGCATCCTCCTCTTCATCATCCGCATCCTCCTCTGCATCATCCGCATCCTCCTCTGCATCATCCGCATCCTCCTCTGCATCATCCGCATCCTCCTCTGCATCATCCGCATCCTCCTCTGCATCATCCGCATCCTCCTCTGCATCATCCGCATCCTCCTCTGCATCATCCGCATCCTCCTCTGCATCATCCGCATCCTCCTCTGCATCATCCGCATCCTCCTCTTCATCATCCGCATCCTCTTCTGCATCATCCGCATCCTCTTCTGCATCATCCGCATCCTCTTCTGCATCATCCGCATCCTCTTCCTCTTCTGCATCCGCATCCTCTTCTGCATCCTCTTCCGCATCCTCTTCCTCTTCTGCATCCGCATCCTCTTCCTCTTCTGCATCCGCATCCTCTTCTGCATCCGCATCCTCTTCTCTTCTGCATCCGCATCCTCTTCTGCATCCGCATCCTCTTCCGCATCCGCATCCATTCCGCATCCGCATCCTCTTCCGCATCCGCATCCTCTTCCGCATCCTCATCCTCTTCCGCATCCTCTTCTGCATCCGCATCCTCTTCTGCATCCGCATCCTTTCTGCATCCGCATCCTCTTCTGCATCCGCATCCTCTTCTGCATCCTCATCCTCTTCTGCATCCGCATCCTCTTCTGCATCCTCATCCTCTTCTGCATCCTCATCCTCTTCTGCATCCTCATCCTCTTCCTGCTTCATCTCATCCTCTTCTTCTTCTTCATCCTCACCCTCTTCTTCCTCATCCTCATCCTCTTCTTCTTCATCATCATCCTCCTCTTCATCATCATCCTCCTCTCTTCATCATCATCCTCCTCTTCATCATCATCCTCCTCTTCATCATCATCCTCATCCTCTTCTTCTTCATCCTCATCCTCTTCTTCATCGTCTTCCTCTTCTTCTTTTTTTTCCTCTTACAGGTCACTGCTCATGCGCAGATTTTTTATCGGTAAAAAAAATCGGCCGATTTGCCCACTAATTGCCGCGAAAATCGGCTGATCGGCAAAATCGGCCGATTTTTTCCAACTTTACCGAAAAAAAAAAAAACCGGCCAAAATACCGAAAAACGGCCGACCAAATCGCCCACTAACGATCCGAAAATCGGCCGATTTTATTTTCGACCGAAAAATCGGCCGATTTTCGACCCATCTATGGCCTGCATAAGGGATGGATTTACTAAAACTGGTGCAGAATTTGGTACAGCTGTGCATGATAGCCAATTACCTTCTAACTTCAGCTTTGCATAGAAACCAGTCAACGTTCAGGTTTTATTGCCAGAGTTACACCAGATTTTGCACACTCCAGTTTAAAAAACAAACAAACAAAAAACAAAACAAAAACCCCTAATAATCAACCTCTATAAACAGACTGGCATGAGTCCAAGCAATGTGGAGCCCAGCTGCTGGACTGACCAGCAGTCAGTCTACTCTACTCTCACTTCTAGAAGAAATTCAAAACTCCTTTTTTCAACATTATCACACTATAGTAATCAAGATATTCCATGAAGAGCAACTTCCAAAGTGCACACAAACTCCTTCCCTTCACACACCAGGCAGTAATCCTTAACGACTGAAATTAACATTTTTAGACAAGCGAGTAATCTGGTCACAAATTTCACTCTAGTGAATGATGCTCCATCAGCCAGGAAAATTTACTAAAACTGGTGAACACAGAATCTGGTGCAGTTGTGCATAGTAACCAATCAGCATTTTACTTCAGCTTGTTCAATTAAGCTTTGACAATAAAACTTGGAAGGTGATTGGTTACTATGCACAGCTGCTCCACATTCTGTGTTCACCAGTTTTAGTAAATCTCCCCCACCCTGTTACAATTTATATACAGTGCATTCCTAAAGTATTCAGACCCCCTTAATTTTTGCCAATTTTGTCATGTTGCAGTCTGATACTACAGTTGTTTAAATTAATTTGTTTTCTCATTAATCTACACTCAGTACCCCATAATGACAAAGTGAGTTTTTGAAATGTTTGCAAATGTATAAAAAAAGGAAAAAAACCTGAAATATCACATTGGCATAACTATTCAGACCCTTTGCAACAACACTTGAAATTTAGCTCAGGTGCCTCCTATTTCTCTTGATTGTTGTGGAGACGTTTCTTCAGCTTGATTGGATATGATCTGGAAAGGCACACACCTCTCTAAAAAAGGCATCACAGCTGACAATGCATACTGTATCAGAGCAAAAGCCATGAGGTCAAAAAGGAACTGCCTGCCGAGCTCAGAGACAGGATTAAAGAAAGGCACAGATCTGAGGAAAGCTACTAAGAAAAAAAAAATTCTGCTGCACTGAAGGTTCTAAAAGCACAGTGGCCTCCATAATTCTCAAACTGCAGAAGAAGTCACAACCAGGACTCTTCCAAGAGTTGGTCGCCCAGCCAAACTGAGCAACCGATGGAGAAGGGCCTTAGTAAGACAGGTGACCAAGAACTTGGTGGTCACGCTGACTGAGCTCCAAAGATCCTATGTGGAGATGGGACAAAGTTCCGGAAGGAAAACCATAACTGCAGCCCTACAGACACCTGGGCTTTATGGCAGAGTGGCTGGATGGAAGACTCTCCTCATTACAAAACACATGAAAGCCTGCTTGAAGTTTGCAAAAAAGCACCTGAGGGACTTTCAGGCTGTGAGTAGATTATCTTGTCTGATGAAACCAAGTGTGAACTGTTTGGACTCAATTCTAAATGTTATGTCTGGAGGAAACCAGGTTATCACCTGCCCAATACCATTCCAAAAGCAAAGCATGGTGGTGGCAGCATCATGCTGTGGGGGAGTTTTTCAGCAGCAGGGACTGGGAAACTGGTCAAGTTTGAGGGAAAGCTGAATTGAGCAAAGTACAGAGATATCTTCAATGAAAACCTGTTTTACAGCACTAAGACCCTCAGAGTGGGCTGAAGGTTCACCTTCCAACATGACAACGATCCTAAGCACACAGCCAAGAAAAAACAGGAGTGGCTTAGAGACAACCTGTGAATGTCCTAGAGTGGCCCAGCCAGAGGCCTGACTTGAACCCTATTAAAACATCTCTGGAGAGACCTGAAAATGGCTGTCCACCAACAGTCACCATCCAACCTGACTGAGCTTGAGAAGATTTGCAAAGAAGAATGGCAGAAAATCCCCCAATCCAGGTGTGCAAGGCTTGTCGGGTCGTATCCAAAGGACTCAAGGCTGTAATTGCTGCCAAAGGTGCTTCAACAAAGTACTGAGTAAAGGGTATTACTAGTACTGTATTTTGTATGTTTTGTAGAAGTTTTTTTTGTTTGTTTAAAACGATTCCATTGCTTGTAAAACCCTAGGTCCTGTACACCTGTTACATCCAGCTTATATTCCACCAGCTGGATAATAAGATATTGATGCTTGTGATTCACATAATAGGTGTCTCAGATGGGATTGTAAGAACAACAATGCATTGTATGAAAGGCACTGAAGATAAACATGTTTAAACCGGTAAAGGATAAAACACCATGTAAGAACTAAAGCTAGATCATACACAGCCCAATGAGAAAAAATATATATATTCCTCCATACACAGTCTTTACCACTGGGCTCTTTGAATCTTTCAACTTTTTTTGAGTTGTGTAGTGCCAACAGGTTCACCTACAGCTCGAATTTCACCAAAATTATCAGGGATTCGAACAAATTCAAGCTATCTATGGCTAGTTTAAGACTGTATTTACTTAAGAATGTAAAAATGCTTTTATGGAGGAACTGGATATTATAGCTTAATTTATGAATAAATTATATTGTTATGTTGTTGTAGGTCTCAAGAAATGAGACTGCTGCCAAGAGAAGATACAAAAAATATATATAGTTAAGAATATTTATTGTTTTAAATTAAATAATTAAAAAAATTAAGCTGATGATTAATACAAAGATCTTGCTATGGTGTTATATTAAGATGTGACGATGTCATTAAAATTCATTGCTTAGCATTAGGTTTTAAATAATGGCACTGATTTGAGATAAAAGTGTGCTCAGATTAATAGGAGCTTCATAACCACCTGATCAGCATTAGCAGGGTTGTTTCTTTAAATAAATTATTTATCCAAATTATTTACCTTGCTTTCTCTTTCAAGCTCACTCCTTAGCCATTCAAAGTCACTGTATCTTCTGCGGACACTAGACTCTTTCAGCTTAAAAATTGGAAGGTTTGTCTGCAAAAACAAGAGTGTGAGATGTTGAGGTACATTTATTTAACCAATAAATTGTAAACATTAATTCAATTACAATCTATAAGCAGCATTTAAAGCTTAAAATATACAGTTGAAAAACATTTTGGGAACCATTTGCCTGCTAAGGAATGTATAATTCTGTAAGTAGTTCAGTAATCCAGGCAGGCATTAACAACTCTTGAACTTCCAGTACAGCTCAGTTCATACAGAACTCAACTAGTTAAATGGGCAAATGAAGTAGCAGCAGACTGCTGAGTCAACAATCTGCTTTCTCCTTCTTTCAGTATCTCCCACCATTACCAGACCGCAATATTTTGGCGTCTGACCGGCTCCCAATGCTGTTCTTCACATGCCTTGGTACAGGGAATGATGGAAAAGATTTTAAAAAATACAATAAAAATAAGGTATACATAATGGCACTATTTTAATGTTGAGCACTGCCTTCATATTGCATGGTGGATGGACCAATTTTGCCATTTTCTTACGGAAAGTACAAACATTTGCAGAATGCTCAGAACCAAAACATTTGTTAAGGGGATTGAAGCCCAAGTTAAAAAAACAAAACAAAATCAGCACAAGGAACATGTTGCTTGTGCTACTGATTGCTGTTTTAGTCGAAATTCCTCTTTCTGATCCCTCCCTCCATAGCTGTGATCTGTTTCCATGTGTTTATTACTTACTTTTTGATTTTGCCGTTTAATACTTAATTAAAAGAGTATTCGAATCGTAAGCAAAGTCCCACAATGCAGGTGGAATATAGCAAAACAGCCAAACCTAGAAGATCTACTTTCAATATGCTGACCAGCCTTTATTGATCATGATCCACGTCAGCTTGTGTTTCATAACAGCTAGGTCTACTACCGGTTTCTTCAAGGCGGCCGCTATAGCGATTGTTGCCGCAAGAAACAAAGTAGATGAGGGTCTGAGCATCACTAAAGGCTCATTAAGGAGAACCACTCTAGGGTTTTACACTATATTCATCAAAGTCACTGAATAAATCGGTGCGTGAACTCACACCCAAAACTTATGAATTTAACTGTGATCTTTTGATGCTGCAGGGGTTAATGGAGCCAAGGGACAAATCATAGGCTCTCATTAACCTCCCTGGCGGTATTCCCGAGTGTAGCTCGGGGTAAAGTTTCAGCACCACAAGCGGTAACCCCGAGCTACACTCGGGAATACCTTGCAGCGTTGCTCCGGGATCTCTTCTTCACTTACCTTGTCCTTCGCTCCCGCAATGTTCCTCCTGCAGTGTCCCCGGCAATGTCCTCCGGCCGATGCCAGCATCTGTCTTCCGGGTTCCGTTCCCTCCGATGCCAAGACGTACAGGGACGGAACTGGCAGGAAATTTGAATGTTGCAAAAGTGACATTCACTGAATTCACTAAAATCACATAGTAAAACATTACTGTATCAAAGCATTTCACATACATTTTGTCCTTAGTGCTTTGTCCTGTGCCCTGCCTGCATTTTTACTGTTCTTTCTGCCTGGAAACTGAGAAACGCCCATGGCGTCCCTTTAGGTCAAAAGCGGTTTTAGACCAGCTAGAGAACAGCGATAGTAAATCTGAACCACTTGCAGAATTGAGTGATAATGATTCGTGGGGAAATTCCTCATCAGACACTGAAAACTATTTTGCGACTTTGCTCAGTGATGTGCGAACTTGGCGCTATATTTCAAATTTCAGTGTTTTTGGTTTGATTATATTATTGAATTAAATGTATTAAATTTTTTTTTGGGGTTATTTCTTAAATTATAATTAATGATTTCGTGTTTCAAATTTTAACATACCCGGGATATTTACTACACTCTTGCTCGGACAGATTTCAGTGAGTTATTACTAAAAATTACAGGCCTACAATAAAGAAAATACATATTTCCATGGAAAAAAATTTACTTCTGAGCACAGAAATATTGACATCAGACCGCTAGGGAGGCTACAGAATGCTGACTGTTCCTGCCCTTTTTGCCCCCCCCCCCCCCTCTCAATTCAGAGAACCTGTACTATAGCTTCCATCAGTGAAAAAAAATCTGTAATTACACTAAAATTACGCCTCCACAATTTTGTTTGTTAATGTGTGCAGGGAACACCATGTGCAGTGAAAAGCAAAAAGGGCTTGAAAAATATTTTTTCTTTTGTACTCAGAGGGCCAGGCACCACCTTGAATACTTTGAGACAAATATATTATTATATTTTGGAACTAAAACACTTTCTGGCAACATACCTGTTATAGCAAGAAGTTTCCTGTATTTAACCACTTCCTGTCCGGACATTTTTACCCCCTTCCTGTCCAGGGCAATTTTCAGCTTTCAGCTATCACACTTTGAATGACAATTGCGCGGTCATGCGACACTGTACCCATATGAATTTTTTACCATTTTTTTTGAGACAGATAAAGCTTTATTTTGGTGGTATTTATTCACCGCTGGGATTTTTATTTTTTTTGCTATGTAAATGAAAAAGTCCAAAAATGTTGAAAAAAAAAAAAAAAAAAAAAAAAGTGTTTTTCTTATAAAATTTTGCAAATAAATAATCTTTCATCATAAATCTTGGCCGAAATGTATTCCATTATCTTTTTAGTAAAAAAAAATAAGCCAAATTAGTTTATAACCAAAAAATTATAATTTTTAAACATTTTTTTTTAATTTTTTTTTTTTTTTTTTTTTTTACATACTGTCACCCTAGCAGTACAGTGTAACACACTGTGTTACACTGTACTACTTGTGGGGGGTGATGAAGATTTTTTTTTTTTTTTACAGTGATTGCTTTTACACCCGTATAGGATGTAAAAGCAATCATTTCTCCTCTGTCTGCATTCTTGCAGCCATTGAGAAATACTGAGTGAGCTGTGATTGGTCACAGCTTGTCACATGGTACAAGGCTGTTGTGAATAGCCTTGTACCATGTGACCTCTGATCATTCACAGATTTCACACGAAGTAAGCAATGATGTCACAAGTGACATCTTGCTTACTACTTTGCATGTGATCACTGATTGGCCAATCAGTGATCACATGATCGGGATCCCGTCCGACGATCGGTGTTTCACTGTGTCCGGAGGACACAGCGGGCACCGGACCGCTGTGCTGCATGCTCCCAGGGAGCGCGCACAGATAGAAATGGCGGGTGCCGTTTATGAACGGTAACCTGCCCCTGGAGTGCCATCGTCCTGCCGTTTATAAACAGCAGGTGGACGGCAAGTGGTTAAGTGCTCAATCACACTGGAATGTGGTGCAGGAGAGCAGTGTTCCAGTGCGGCTTCCTACACTGCATTCCGATCGCAATGCCCTTGGGATTTGCTGCGGGGGGGTACGTTAAAGTTAACGACACCCAAAACATGGGTTGCAAACGCATTGCATTTGCCCAAACCAAACTGCATGGTACAAAGTACCATGCGATGCGGTTGCCATGCGTTTAGAAAAAAAAAAAAAAAGTAGTGTGAAATGAATGGGTAAGAAATCGCACCACATAGACCCGCATATGAATCGCACAGCACGTTCCCGTGTGATTCACATCAAGGAACAGGGTGAACCGGCCCTTAAGAACTAGGTAATTGGACACTTTGAGGCCGTGAAATCTCTAGCACTCCCTGTCAATCATTAAAGTTCCCTCTGCTTCCTATTATGTCAGTTGGTTCCCAGCACAGAACCACCATGACTTCTCTTGACAGGACAGAGGCAAAAGGCAGGAGCCAGCGGGTGTTATGTGCTCTCAAGCACCGTTTGTAGAACGTGAAGCTGCAGATGACAGGAGATGCTATAATGAGTCATCTGTGCTTGTAGTGGCTGTGCTACTGAACTGGGAGGGCAGATGATAATTGTGGGAGAATGGCTACAATGAGCCCAGGATACTTTCTTGCTACAATATTGATCAAGAATGCTCTGCCTAGCTAGAGCAAATGACAGTGCACGCGCTGGACTGTAAAGCCCCATATTATCGGTTCTTGCTGGGTAGAGCCATCTCCTTGCAATATGCTGTGCTCATACTGACAGCTGATTGGGAACACTACCTGCCTAGAGCAGAAAATGCAGTACCAGCTTTGTTTTTTAACATTTATTCAGTCACAATGACCTGTAACCGAAGAACTTTCAAGGAAGATCTGCTTAAAGTTAGCCATAGATGGATCAAATCTCAGCTGATTTAGCAGGGACTGACTGAGATTTGATCCATCTATGGGCAGGCTGGTTGTACTGAAATTGATCCATTGATCGGCCTAAGTACAACCAACCTGTCGGATTTGTTCATGCGATCACTGCGGGTGGCTACAGCCTCCTGCGGTGATCATTGTGTTCTACTAATTGTGAAGGCTCTCTGCTGGAAGAACATAATAGCACTACGAGAAGGATTCCCTCCTTCAACATTGATTGTGTTGATAGGAGAATCAAGCAATATCCTTTCACCTATGGTTTAAGAAAAAATAATTGCATAATCTATGGACTGCTTTACTGTGGTGGGAGTCCTAACGAGCATCCATGGGATTTGCTGGTTCATCGTTGTACTCTCTTGCAGCTGACGTGGAAAACAACATGGCAGCGTCCAGCAGCAATCTACAGAATTTTTAAAGCTGTGAAAGAGAAAGCTTGGGAGGCAAACACCTCCGATGAAGGTAAAACATTTATATTACACATAGCAACTGAAAAAAAAAAAAAATGGAGGACAGGGTCTCTTTGTGTGCATGCTATATGTGTAAAGGTGATGGTTTTGGGGGAAGGTCACTGCAATAACACTGAACCTGAACCTGAAAAGTGTTCGGCACCGAGTGCTCTGTATGCATATATGTGGGTTTCAGAACCATAGAAAGCCTGAGGAAACAACCAGCCAATAAAGAGCATCACTCAAAAGCCAAACCTTATGCATTAGTCAATGGCAAACAAAGCAGAAGATGATGGCTACTGCTGCTACTACTACTACTACTACTACTTCATCATCATCAATCGGAAATAATCAGCCACTTTAACTGGCAGGCTGAGGTTTGGCTCATTCCATCA